CACCTCCTCAGCCCTGCAGCTGCAGCAGCTCCTCATCCTCCCCTTTATCTCTCTTGCAACCCCATGTGTTGCACCCCTGTTGCTTCTCTGGGCTTTGGCAGGATGGCCAAGACATTGCACCCAGATGCCAGCCAGGAGAGGAGGGGCAGGGGCCAAATCCACCTGTCAGCTCTCGCCTAACATCGCATTCCTAATGTGCTCACGGAAATTCATTATTCTCCACTCAAGCCTGTGCGAATAAAATCACTCTGGCCTTTTTACACCAGGCTGGTGCCTGAAGGTCTGGGGGAAGCTGGAGAATGTCGTGGAGGTACTGGGACAAGCATGGTGGTGCTACTGCAGACTAACCAAACACATCTGAGCGCTTTGGCTGGCAAGGGAGGAGAGGATCGGCTGTCAGCCGGAGCCCCACAGCCAGCAGCTCGGCACTGAAGAGGTTGCTGCCGCAGGCACCCGACCGGCTGTGGGGCCTGCCTTGGCTCAAAGGAAATGTGCTTCCTTGCTTCTCATCCTGGATTGGGGCTTCACTCATGTGTAAACATGAGCCGCTCCTTCCTCCTGCAGCACTGCAATCCCTCTCAATGCCATGGGACTGAAACTAGCTGGGTTTTTGGCAACTGAGGGACCAAGCAGGCTACAGTCAAAATCCCACTGCTCCCTAAGGTCAGCTGCTCATGAGGAATTGTCTGGTGGTCACAAATGGAGTAGTTGGAGCTTCTCAGTGGTGGAGGTGAGGAAGGTTGGTCTTGAACCTACTGCCCCTTCCTGTGCCCAGGGTGGTGGGAGGCTGCAGGGCAGCCCCAGGGACTCACAAGGACCTGTTTCTAGAGCAGGGGTTGGTACTGGAAACCACACAGTCTCTTGTACCCTTACTCCTGCTTAGGTTGTTGCAATCTACAGGTGCCACTCAAGTTTTTGGGGTGGCGGGGTGTACTCTCTTCCCCATTTGAGCCAGGCATGCTGCTGGTTTTGAGCATCCTGTTAGGAAGGCTCCCGTGTCAGTGCTGAGGAGCATGGCTGTGGAGAGCAGTGCTGGGGCTGGGGTGCCATCTGTGGGGTGTTATTTCTGTATGGGGAAGGCTGGTGGTTGTACAACAGGCAGTAGATTACATAGCAACAGATCATTACAATCAGGAAAACTGTCATTTATTCTCTGTTGGAATTGCATGCAAGACCCTTTGTATTTTCTCAGGTTGTTTTCTTGCTCAAATGTATTTGCCAAACTATTCCCATGTGTGAGCTGGAGCCACAGCTCTCCCGCAAGCGATTCATTACAACGAAGCACTGTGCAAAGTGTAATCCAGGCTGGTTAGTTTAGTTTTGACCTCCAGGCTGACTGAAGCAATTTCCTGTCCCTTGCTGCTGGAACAAGCTGCAAAGTGTGAGGGCTCCTCACCTTCAGCAGGCATTGATTTTTGGCTCTGAAGTCATCTGCTGGAGATTGATGCCTTCAGAGTGCAGTGGTGGGGCTCCCCACTGTCAGTCCTGGGGAGATTTTTTCCCCAGTGTAGGGATGCCTGATCTGGCTGAACCCACCTGTTCAGAGGTTTGAACTGTGGCAGCACATCACTCTCAGCCACTGGTTTCTGTTTCGGTGCTGGAGGTGCTCCCTGGCCCTACCACAGCATGTGAACACTCCCTATGACCAGCCACAGGCAAAACTGGGACTCTTGGCCTTCCCCTAGTCACCCAAGGGGGGCAGGGCAAGATCCTACCTCTCCTCAGGATGAGGATGGAAGCAGCATCCCTGCTGCAGGCAGAGCAGAAAGGGGTTTGTGTACTGTTGCTCACAGGGATATCCAGGCAGAAGAGCCAGGCTCAGCTAACAGCGTGTTGCTCATGACATGGATGGGCTGTCAGGGACACAAGCCTTGCTAAGAGTCCCACTACACTCTGCAGAACAGCAAGAGCAGCCAACACACTGGCTGGAAACACCCCTCACTCCTCCCCACCACCCCTGGAAGAGGAGATTAAGGGCTCAACTCCCCCAGGGTTGGATCAAGGAAGTGAAGTTTCCCCCATGTCCTCTGCGTTGCTGTGTCCCCCTTGGGCTCTGTGGAGTAGGAAGGGAGAATGGGCAGAGGAAGTTTGAGCCTAGGCAGTGTTGACCCACTGCTCTGTAACCCCGGAAGGTTCTTCAACAGGCAGCTTGCTGAGAAGCCTAATTTGGGTGCTCAAGGACAAGGTCCAGGAACACCTGGCCATTTTTCCTTAGCCTCATGGACAAGCACAGTTCCAGGGACACGTAAACAAGGAGGAGGGAGACAAATGACATCCAGCAGAGTGGGTCACTTCCCCACACCAAACTCCCCATGCAGGAGGGTGAACAGTGTCACAAAACCCCTTGATAAGAAGTGGAACACCTACAGAAGGGTCTAGAGTTAGGGTGACTATGAACGTCTTGAAACCTTTGCTTTCCCACATTATTCCTAAAATCTTAGATTTTCCAGTTACTTTCCCATCTGGCTTTGAGAAGGCAGAGCAAAGTGGGACTGAGCCATGCTGGGGCATCCCAGTGGATCCTGAGGAGGAGATTTATGCTGGAGCTCTGAGAAACCTGCTCCTAAGAGCCATGGTGGAACTTTTTAGAAAGGGATGTTTCCCACCAGCCAGCACAGGGGTGTTGGGAAGGGGTATGGGGATGAGATGCCAAATGGGCTTTGGAGTTTGGCTCCAGGCAAAGCGTTCTTGTGGCACCATCTGGATGCGGGGCAGGTGTCAGGCTGTGCTGAGGTGTTCCTGAGGCGTTGGGTGCATCCTGTCAGAAGTTTGTCCTGAGGTAAGCGGGTCTGCTCAGTAAACACCTCACAGCTTCTCTGATAGACAAGCCCTTGGGTTTCCGGTGTGCACGAGCACAAGGTGAACTTTCGGTGGATATTTTCTGCTATGAACGGTTTTGCAAGTGCGTGCGTGAGTCACTTCACCCAGCCCTGACACCAGAGGAACCGCTCACACGAGTCCAGTCACTCATGTGTGCACGAGCGCTCGCAGGACACTGCCACCCTTCCATGCTCCTGGATCACCAGTGCTGCCATGCCCGCTGCAGGGACCCCAGCAGACAAAGCCAGCCCTCCCTGTGTGGGATGGGAGCAAACAGCACTGGAAATCGAGCTCTCCAAGTCTGCGATTAAGATATAATTCTTAAATCGCTCGTTTGATATCTTTTCTGGTTTATTTGTTTAATAAAAGCACTTAGTTAGCCGGAGACCCAGGCTCCTGGGGCTTTCATTTCTCTGCAGAGAAGATAAGAAAAGCACATTTCCTTATCCAGTGAGTCACTTTTTCTGCTCTTTAATTATGCATTTGTGCGATTATCAAGCATATTCAGCTCTGAGATGCAAACAGTTCAAACTACTCATCAAGCTTTAACTTTTGCTATTCCAGAGATGATCAACCACAGTTACAAAGAGCAGGGGAGGCAAAGATGGGGGAGGCAAAGAGTGGGACGGCCAATGCCCAGAGCCTGGGCCATGCCTGTGAGCAGGCACACGTGTGATTGCTGCTGGGATAGTCAGCACTGATTTTCTCCATGAGTAAGTGTTATCATGTGGCCCAGGAGGAGGTGGACAGGCTGGCAAAAGGACACAGAAGACTTGTAGAGTAGGATAATGAGGGTTGAGAAAATGGGGGGGAATAGGGAGAGGTCAATAGCAGCAATGAGGCTGCAACATCCTTTCACATAACAGGACCTGGGAGAACTTTATTCACAGGAGGACATGACGGCTGCCATCTATGGATTCCCCACCATGCTTTTGCAGCTTCAAGTTTTCATTCCATGAACTGAAATGGGAACCAAATGAACTCTGTTGTAAACTTCACCCTCCACATCAAAATCAACGTGTAGGTTGCTTGGTTTTGGCTTTCCCTGGCAAGTGTATTTGACTGGAGGGGTCACAGAGTTAATCTGTAAGTGTGGTACAGCAGATGCTGGGAACTGTTTCCCACCTTGCAATTTGAGCCAAGCAGGGAGAAGAGAGGGGAGGAAGAGAGGCAGGGTGACAGTCGGACAATGGGAAAAGGGGCTGGGGATCACTGAGAGATGATTGACGTGGGGGTAGCACAGTGGGGGTATTTGATGGGGGAGGGTAAGAGGGGAATGATGGAGGAGGATGCCTCTTTGGGAAAAGGCAGCTGGCAGGTGGAAACACCCTAGACCAAGAGGAACAGCAAAGCCTTTGGAGAACGGAGGTGGTTTTGGCGCAGGTATCCTGACAGAGCAGCATCGGATGTTTTTGGGGATCTTCTGTCTCCATGTATGGCTCCAGCCCCACCAGCCCACAAAGGTGTTTTCTGGGATCTAGTCCCTACCCTTACACTTCTGTTCCTGGACATATATCCCTCCGCCTCCCATGCTTGTACCATCATTAGTGGGGGTGGAGAACACACAACAGTTGGCCTGTCCACACAGCAGTCCCTGACAGGCCATGTCCTGGCGGCAGTGGGAGCTTTTAAAAGGGGAAATGTTAGTGCCCCTGCACTCTTTTCTCCTCTAGTCCTTCTATGCATTTTCCATTCAAGCCAGTCTGTGGCCCTGGGATGGTGTCTTGTAAAGATCCAGGCGCAGGAAAGCCTCCTGTAGACACCGGAGGAGTCTGCGGGTGCTTTTCACTGACATCAGGGTAGGGTGCAGGCTGGGGGATGTGCCTGGGGGTGACATACAAAGGTGTGCAGGGGAATAGTGAGAATCAAGGAGGTCGGGCAGGAGCACCGTATCACCAGGTACAAGGTGCTACATGGCTGAGGCACATGAGGGGCTGTGAGGATTTTGGAAGCATATTTTGGAGGAGAGGGGTAGTTTGAGGGCACGTTGCACAGGCAGGCAGGCAGGGGTAGGGCTTGAGCGCTTGCTCTCCTCCTCCCCGCGAAGATCCGCCCCAGGCGAAGCACAGCGATTGTGAGCCCCAAGGGAGACGACGCATCTTGACAGACTGTATCTCCCTCTGCCACGGGGCCCGGGGCGCTGCGATTTCACACTCGGGCGGCCCTGTCACCGCAGCGCCATGCAGGAGCTGGGCTCTCGCTCCCATTCGCCCATGTCCTCATCAGGAAAAGCTGCCATTGCCTCCTCCTGCCTCTCCTTCGAGTGCTTCGACTCCCTGACCAAGGCATGCATCAAGTGCTCCGAGTTGTACAAGGACAACACAAGTAAGGGGACAAGGGCAGCTGGGGTCCTATCTTCGCAGGGATGGGTGGTGGGGGGCCAAGGAGGCTGGGGACACCCCAGGGGTGGGCAGCTGGAGGGCACTTTCTCCTGAGGATGGCTATGGAAGTGGCAGCAGAGGATGGAGTGCTGCCTTCACCCGGAGGAGGAGGAGGAGAGAGGAAGAAGGCAACCAGTTCCATGGAAAGGAACATGGTGAAGGGAAAAAGCTGGATGATCCAGCTTGGTGTGGGGTTCACAGCCTTCCTGGTCACAGGCAGGAAGACAGGATGCCCTCATCTCCTACCCCCCAGGAATGGCAAGGGCATGGTATAAGGGTCCCGTCAAGCAGGGACACATTTCGTTGCAGGTGGGTAGCAGTGAAGTGCCACTGTCCTTTCCCGCCACCACAGCCCCAGGGTTGACAGGCCAGGTGGAAAACACTGCTGCCCTCCTTCCAACCCCCAGCTCTCCCACTCCTGAAACTGCTGGCGTCTCACCCCACAGCAGAGCCCACCCTGGCACCCACCCTGACCAACACTTTCCTGATCTTCGGGGTCCCACTGGCAGTGGGGTTCATCCTGATTCTGGCTGCCCTCTGTGGCTTCCTGGCCTGCAAGGTGGGAAAGTGGAGGAGGAAGAGGAAGGCAGCAGATGAAGAGGACAAAGGTAGGGGACCTCTTCTTCTCCCTCTCAAAGTACCCTGGGGACCCTGTAGCAGATGGAATCACTTGCCGTGGGTTTCCCTGAGGCACATCCCTGTCGAGGCTAGCTGTTCCACCTTGACATCAGCTTCACAGGCATCCCAGGACATTTTGGGGCAGCTGAGTCACCACTTGAGGCATGGTGTTCTGTTCCCTGGGACCTGACTGCCAGGGCAACACTGCTGAGCCATCCCTCCCTTTGTCAGGTCTCCCTGGTGCCTTCATTTGCTTAGAGCACCTGCTGGCACCATCTCCTCTCCACAGGAGACATGTACAGAGCACTGGTGAGGAGCTCTGTGAGCTCACTGATGAGAATCCTCTACCCCAGTGGCCAGAGGGCCATGGATGGAGTGGGGTTGTGGAGGCAGTAGTGGACATCTGATGACAGCCCCAGAAGCAGCCTCTCCCTGTGGCGCTGCAATGGGTGTCCTGTGTTGACTGCCCAGCTTGCTTTTCCTGCTTGGGATGCCCAGTGTCCTCCAACAAGACACTGATGGAGTGTCGGAGCCAGCTCCATTGACAGGTCACTCCTACTGCACAGGGTCATCTGGTGCATCAAAAATAGGGATTGGGAGCTAGGGATAAGGCTGAGCCTTTCCTGGCATAGGTACTCCCAGAAGAGTAAATCCACAGTGCCCCACAATGGCCCACTTTGTTGGGGTGGGTGTTTCTTCCCTTGAGGGCCTCTCCACTGGCTCTGACTCAACCCTGAACATTCTCAGAAATGATCTTTCCTGGATTCACTCCTCCCCATTCCCGGGCAGCGCTACCTGGGACCCTTGTGCAGTATGGCTCCCCGGGATCCCCCATCTCCAGGCTGCCTCCGGGAGATGCTGCTACCCACCACTGCCCCAACATCTGGATTGGTGTCCATGGGGGGACAGCAGGGCCAGCGGCAGCTGTGTCCCCTGTGTACCCTGGCTTGCCTGCACACTTCTGGCAGTGCCGGCCGGTGACTCAGACCGGGGGGACATTACCCGGGGCTTTTCTGCTATGCGACAGCCCGTGACGCACAGGCCTAGGAAAAATACCAAGAACATAAGAGGAGGGAGAAATCCAGTGGCAAGAGAGATCTGGCCATGATGGAGAGTGTTGGAGGCACTGCTTGGATAGTCCCCTGCTGCATGCCCTGGTCCTCGCCCCCCTTGCACCCCAAGGCTGCACTGCAGCAAGCCAACTGCTGCGGCACTGGATGTGTGGAAAGTGTCAGGAGGCTTGGGGCTGGAGGCACACGCCTGCCTTCAAAGTGTGTAAACAAGTCTATTTTTAAGCGAGAGGCAGTCAGGGAGGGCAAGCCACCATGGGCTGGGCTGCTCTGCTGCCGGCAGGGTGTAATGAGAGGGCTTGAAGTGGAACTGCAAGTTTGTGCTCTTCCCTACTGTCTTCTGAGGGGGGGAAAGCCCATCAGTTGTAAGCAATATCAACCCTGCAACAGGACAGGGGGGTGGGGACCTTGCAGGTTCCTCCTGTTCCAGCTCCATCTTCCCTCCAGGGACAGGACCCTCTCCCTGCCTGACCTGCCTGACCCCACTTTGTGAGCCCAGTAACCCCCTTTTCTTGTCCCCTCCCAGCAAACATGGACACTGCCAGCCCTCTGCCCAGCCAAGACCCCGCCATGCCAGAGAGAGATGATGCCCTGGACCCAGACCCGTGCCCGCATCTTGATGCAGGCCCCAGCCTGAAGATGCTGGGGCCACCCAGGAAAGCTAGGGCAAAACAGAGGCCATGCTGCCAGGGCAATGCTGATGGTGACATCATTCTGCTCTCCACTGTGTACCCCCGGCATGAGGAATGCAACCACAGCTTCCCGCTGCCTGCCACTGAGCTGGGGGCCACAGCCCTGGTCACCACCAAAACCACCCAGAACTGTGCCAGAGAGGAGCGAGTCTGAGGGAGGGGAAATGGGGCTGGAGCGTTCTGGCTGCTCCCTGTGGACACCCACAGCCTGTTCCTGGCATGAGCAAAGCCTTCTGTGGGCATGAGCTTTCTGAGGTCCAGGTTTTGCCCTGAGCAAGATCAGCCTTGTAAGATGACTGTCCTTTTTCACTTTCCCGTTTGTGCTGAGTCCCAAGTTACACCTGTAAGCGCTGGAAGCAGACAATGTGGATCACGCCGAATTGCAGTGGACTGCTGACAGCTGCCGTGGCTGAACTGTTAGGAGAAGGCAGAGGAGACACAACCAGTGAGGATGGAGCGTGGCAGGAACTGCTGTGCCATTTGCAAGGCTACCATTGTGCCAGGATAGGTCTGCTGCTGGATGGGCAACTTATGAGAACATGGGGCTGGAAAACCAGAAACATCAGGAGAAAAGGAAGATGGAGATGGAAGCAGGGAGTTACATTAGGACCAAATGCCACAGCACAGTAGTTCCATTTTTGTTGTTGCCCTCGATAAAAGTAGACTCGGGGCCATATGGAGCAAGGCACATCCAGCATCTACTCCATTCACAGTCCTGCCATCCTGTCTTCTGCACTCTGTGATACCCAGGTCTCTTCTCCCTCTAGCCACTCTCACACAGGGACAGGCATCCACTGGCACCCATAGGAACCCTCCCCTCACAGCTGGGTACCCCAGGGATGGGGAAAAAGGTCTGTCTTCCAAAGCAGTGGAGAGGGGAAAAACATTCTGTTCTTGCTCTGACCTACAATCCCTGAAGTTAGGGAGGACCAGGGGCAGGCAACAGAGACAGCTAGTCTAGAGGAGCTCCATGAACTTGTCATTACAGCTCCAGACAACCGTCACTTCAGCTCACTGTTGCTGTGGAAATACTGTGTGTCACTTGGGATGGATGTTTCTGCGCTGCACAAAACCAGTCAGGGAGTGATGTGAGCGTAGGCAGGATGACTTAATTTATGTGAGTGTCCTCAAGGCTTTGCCTGTGTGCCAGAGCTGGCCAGCGTTGCTGGTCCCAGGCATTTCTCTGCAAATGGTTTTCTTCACCCGCCTGCAAGTGGCTTTACTGCGCAGGAAGGGCTCTGTTTCAGAAACGAAACAGTGTGGGGTTGCTGTTTCTGAGTAATTACAACAGCTGATCCCCTTGGCTGAACAGAGACAGGCCAATGGGTTGGGTGAAAAGTGCTGATGGCTCTGGAGGAGGTGATTAGGCAATTAAAAGTGCCTTGGCAGGGTTATTTGCATGAAGCACAATCTCAGCAACAACCTGGGCCTGCTGTTCCTTAGGTGAGGTGGCTTCCTCATCCAGGAAGTTTGGACACTGAGGCAGAGGCAGCCAAGCAAGGTGTGAGGGCTCTGCCACCACAGCACCAATTGGCCTCCGAGTGCCACAGTTCCCAGTGGGGTCACCTGGTGGCACTGCATGGAAGGGATGTCCATCTCTTGATGGGAAGGTAACTCCCTGCCCAAGCCTGAGTTCTCTTCTGGGATTGCAGGACAGATGCTGCTGTTGAAGGGTGACCCTCTCTCTCTCCCCTGTCTGTGGCACCAGAACCAGACTTGTGGCACCTATCACATAATGGGAGCCACAAGCACTGCCACAAGTGCCAAGGCTGAAAATCCTCTCTGCAACTCCTCTCCCAGAGCTAAACACACTAGCAGAGATGAGACTTCATCCAGCTGAGGCTCCACATGACCCAGGATGAGATGGGTCCTGTCTCAGCACTGGGGCTGAGAATGGTGGAGGATGTAGTCCATGTGCCCAGCTGACTATCTCCTGGGGCTCCAGGCATCTGTGGCTCACTGACAGGAGCTGTGGAGGCTCCAGGTCTGGGCTCCCGGTTATCCAAAATAGCCATGCTGCCCACTGCAGAAGGGGTATCCCCACAGCATGAGTCAGATGTCTCCTCATCCTCATTCTCTGCACCCAACCCTGTGAAGTAAATTCAAGTAACCTTTGTGCATCTGGAGTGGGGAAATGAGCCCAGGACAGGTTGGAGGATGTTTTGGTGCTGGAAGAGGGACTGCTCGTGAGAGGCAGAGCAACCTCTTTCATGGGAGATGGAGGCGAGAGGGAAATGGAGCAGAACTATCAGGACCATCTCCACTTCCCACTCACTGACAGCTGCAGCCCAGCCCTGTGGATGTGCTGCCCACCCCAGAAAATCTGGTGATTTGAAAAAGAAACACCCATACAAATCCTATTGAAAAAGCCCCTGTTTTTGTTCAGGTAAGGACTTCTGTTCTCATTTCTGCTGGAACTTACGCCGGGCATCTCCTGTATAGGAAGTCACTGGCATTTGCAGTTTGCAGAGTAGCAATTTAATCCACATTGGATTCCTCAGCCAGTGAGTGCCCCTTGAATCTCCTCTCTGTTATGGCATATGCAGTGTCTTTCCCACAGCCTGCCTGCCCAAATACCAGCTGTGATGAGCTGGTAATGGTGGTGTGGCTCCCTTCCTGCCCAGTCTGACTGGGCCAGACTTGCAAATTCCTCTGTGCACCTCTCTATCCTTATGTACAGGGCAAGAGTCTGTTTGCCTTGGCTGCATGGAGAGCTGAGGGAATAGAGATGAAAAATATGTTTGTAAAAATTAAAGAATAAAGTGAACCCATTGTCAGTGCATGATCAGAGGTCTGTATGAAATCCCCATTCCCCTGGCTTTAGGGGTCTCTGACATCGTGGTCATTGGAGTACCACAGGGCTTTGACCTGGAGAAACTCCCCCTACACTGGCATCACTGGCACATTTCCTACTCACAGCCACCTGCATGGCCAGGAACCAGCCAAGCCCGGCCACCCACACCTCCCCATGGCCACACCAGGAGCTGGCTGATAGAACAAGGAGTGGGGAAAGTATTGTGTGTGTGTATATATATATATATATATATATATATTTTGGAGAGGGGAGGTGCTGTCTCTGTCTTTCTTTGACTTTCCACAGAAGTTTCTCACTTCCCCCTTTGAGGCAGGAACTGTGCTTCCTCCTCAGCCCAGCATGCACTCCACTACCTGCACAACTGCCTAGAAAGGCTGTGAAACCAGGCTTTACCTGGCCACAAGGGGCATGGGGTTTCAGAGAGAGACAGGGGAAAGTCTGAAGAAATCCCTGGGCAGGAGGAAGGAGTCGAGGCTAAAACTCTCCTCACTGCAAAATCACTTCAGGTATCCCCCTAGACATTTCAGCTCCTCTGACCCCTCTATGGTGGAGGTCACAAGCATATCTGAGTTCCTGCAGGTCCCAACAATAATGCTGGTAGTAAAGGAAAGAAGCCTTGGTGTCCCTGGGGATGGGGGTTTGTTTTCATCCCTGGTCCTAGAGGCAGGAGCCAGCTGGACAACAGTGCATGGTGGCATGAGGAGGGGAGGCATTTGGCTAAGGGTCTTCTTCTGCAGCCACCAGTTGTGTCTGCTAAAACCTCCTTAACCCCTCAGGTTCCCCAGCCTCCGAAGTGTTCATCTTTCCTCCACTAGCCTCCTCATCTGGTCCTTCTTCCCTCACTTTTTCCGCTCCACTCCCATTACTGTTTCACCCACAAGTTTAGTCTCCTGATTGTGGGCCCAGCTACTCCAGCTTAAAGCACCCCCCACAGACCTCTGCAGATCCAACTTGCCCCTCCACGGGCATTCTGTGAGTGATGGACCTTGACAGCAGGCAGGGCAGGCAGGATAAGGTGGTCATCATTTCATCCCATGCATGAAGTAGTATACCCTGATGGCCAATGTCCAACAGGCACCACCTGTCTCTGGGTGCAGCCTCCGATCCCCCCACTTGCTGCAAGAAGACTGGGGCTGTGTGACCACCCCATCACCTGCTTGCAGAACATGGCCCTCATCCTATCCCGCAGGAACCTTTCCCACCATTCACTTCCTAGTGCCAGTCATGGCATAGGGACATATGGGTGCCCTTGCAATCCTCGTGGGACACCTGTGGGAGGCTGTGGGTGAAGCAGAGAGGTCAGCAGGCCCAGGCTGCCTGCCACGAGGTGGCACTGACACCACACACCGGCCTGCACGGCCGCAGTGCCACAGGGGAGCTGCACGGGAGGGCAAATGCCAAATGCAGCAAGGGGAACCAGGGAGAGCCAAGCAGGCTAGTGGCCAGCCCCACTTTGGCCAGAAAGAAGGGTGACAGCTGGGTCTGACTCTATCCAGCCATGCAGCCGGTCACCATGGCCTCTGGGCTGCCCGGGAGAAATGGTCACTGGTGGCTGGACACACGTGGGCAGAGCAGGCATGGAGTGGTGGGACAGCCGGAGGCACAGAGAGCTGCTGCTCCTTTCCTGAACAGCACTGAGCGCCCTGACCATCACCCTGTTCCCTCGAGCAGCCCATTCCTAGTGGTGTCAGGCCTCCCTGGGCATTCTATGGCACATGAACCTGCCAGCCAGCACCCTATTTGCCCATGCCTTCCCTGTCAGCCTGTACCAAAAAAGAAACTACTGTGCTACCCAGCAAGCTCCCCAGCTAGAAATAGCCCAGGGCTGAGGAAAAGGGGATGGCCAGCTCCCTGCACGATGCTGTCGGGGGACCACAGTCTTCCTGATGCTGCTCATCAGCATCCCTCCCTAATTGCTACCCACTGCCTAATGACAGTAATTAAGAAGAGCGAAGCTGCCTGGGGACTGGAAGCGCTGACGGAGTTGGGGGAGACAGATGGTGTTCGCACTTAAGGAAAGATTAAAACAAAAAAAAGAGAAAAAGTACCTCTCAGCTTCTATCAACCTCCCTTTTCCTTTGCTTAGTGTCAGGATCACTTTGGTCCACAGGTATGCCAGGGAGATGCTGAGATGTGGCACTGGTCACTTTCAAACACAACATCTGCTTCCCCCCATCTCTGGTATTTTAGGGTGCCAAGGGAGCTGTGGGAAGGGGCACAGTGCCCGCCTGGGTGCCTGGCACGGAGGGGGTTTCCTCACTGCCTTTGTGGGCTGATGCTCTCCCCTGGGGCCTCCCCCGCTGCTCCCCGCTTTGCTGGCCGTGCTCAGCGAGAAGTTTCCCAGGGGTGTAAGGAGAGGGGACAGCCCAAAACCACCTGAGGGGCTGCGGTGAGCAGGCAGCAGCTCTCCTAGCAGAAAGGGCTGGTCTAGGGA